TGGCAATGTAAACATGCCCCAGGGAGGTTACAGTGAGAAGAACGCCTTTCAGCGCGCGGCAATGCATGCAAGTGTAACGCCAACTGAACAGTCGGAATAAACAAACAAACACATTTCCCACGGCCACACGAAAAGGGAAGTAGCGACAGACAAGTCTCCGCCTTAGCTAAGACATGATCTAAGAGTCGTTTCAGCCGCCAAAAGGGCAGGGGAAGGGGACGGAACCGCTCGGTGAACGTACGTGGTATGAATGTGGGCATTAAAATTGGCATGGAGACTGCTAGGGAAGCCACGGTGCGCGGTAGGCTGGCGGTAGCCTTCAGTCTGGTCTGCATGATACCCATTATAACAGGTGAGTTTGGTTTTCAGATTTCCCAGTGTTGCTGAGGGTATGCACATGGGAACCAACAAGTATTATTTCTTTCTCTGACTTCTCTAGTAGGGGTGGTGGGGGTGGCGCAAAACATATTGTCTAAAATTAATTATGCATTTATATATATAACCTGGCTACGCATTGGTAAAATAGATATTGTAGACGACATACGTGCTCTTTCTAGGGAGTTTTGTAATATATTTATAAGGTTACATTATGCAATCCCCATAGCAGTTCCAATATGTTGACGCGATGGAAGACTTTCCGGACGTCTCTATTCAATAATCAACACTGTATGTTACTTTTGTCGGTTTCTTTTTTCGTGAGCATAAAAGAACCTTCCCAGTCGAAAGCTTAACCACAACCAGAGATGACACGTGAATGGAAAATAAACACCATTCAAACAAAGGATAACATATCAACTTGTACACAATGTTCCCCATTTCCCTCGGTGGTTTTTGACCTTCCTTCTCCTTGTAGCACTAACGTGTTCCGCTTTTTCAAAGATATGCATAACAAGAGTAAGGCGATCTCATACCTCCATGACATGTTTAGTGCTTTTGTAAATCTTATGCATGGTGATGACCACCTGTAAATGGCTTACATTTACAACCCTGCTCATTAGCAGCATATTTATTCACATGGCCCCTACCTAGTAACATGCAACACAATGGTGAAATCCTCATCATTTGGCATGGACAAGGTATGATATTGTTGGTTATTTGCAAGCACAACCTCTGACATACATTTGTCAAATCATGTTAACCATCCAAACTGACTGATTTTCCTTTTTGCCATTGCAATTATGCAAATTATAAGAGCCCCATGTGCATATATTATATAAGTTGATCATACTCTCCACCCAATGATAGGATTGTCTTAAGAAATAATGCTATTCTGGCATTTGCTCATAAATTATGCAAATGAGGTCCTGATTTGATAAATTATGTTTAGTGATGACCTTCACCTAACTTCTAAGGCAAGTATTAAATTCCCGACAGTTACCACTAAAAAATGTTGCAATTTCATGTTAATTATGCAAATTGGATCTCAAAATCTCATTTCTTGCATTTGACAATGAACATTTTGGCTTTACATTTCAAAATTATTAATTACAGTTCTATATGCTACAGTTCTATATCTATTTCTTCAGGTGTAGTCGACGTCACCATCGTCAGTAAGTACCAGTTCTTTAATGAGTCCGATGACACCTGGCTGTACTGTTACTACACGGGTAGTCTCATCAACCAGTACGGGTACCAGTTCGGAGTAGAGGTTGACACTGGCTCGGGAACGAGATTTACACCACAAATAATAAATGGTGTTGTGACAGGGGACAATAGTGTGAGGATTCGGGATAGCGTTGGTGATTTCCGAGTTGGAGCATTCTCATGTCAAGTACGCGGCAGAAGTCAAACAGAAAAGGTCATTACGTTCAAAATGAAATCTCAGGGTGAGTACACATTTTTTTGTTAAATTAAGCAGCTTACATTATGTCTTTGTCCACATATTACAATGCTGAACTTTATTTCAGACCAGGCATCACAAGGTTCATTCTTTAAACGTACCCTCACTGTCGCATTCGAATTCATCAGGATGAGAAATGACCAACCACTTCCGAATGTAAATCTTCAATAGTTACAAACAGGCCATTTCATTCTCACGAGACTTTACGGACACGTGATGTCAGCAATTGGTCAAACGTGCCAGGTAATTTACGTATTCGTAAAGTCACGTGAGAATAAAATCACGTGTCCATAACCCTCTGTTCAAAAGTGATTGGTCATCTCTTATCCCGATGGAGCCCGATGAACGCTACGGTACGCTGTGGTCGTTGATAATTTGATCCTTGTGAACCCTAATGTTGGAATAAAGTTCAGCATTGTACTATGATTACTACAAAGAAGAACTTCCATTAAAATCTGTCCACTGGAATTCACCCTCAGATGATGAAAGATGTATACCAATGAGATTTGATGAGATACAATATGATTCTCTTTTCAGCCGATGTCTGGCCTGTGGCCTTCACAGTAACCGCCAGCCTAGGAGACCCCGTGACGCTACAAATGATACATAAGTTCAATAGGACGGGTACCCTTGAATGGAGGAGGGACGGTGTTGGAGGGACTGTCCTGACCGGACAGAACAGTACGAGCCTGACCATAGCCAGTGCCCGGTCTTCAGATGAAGGGATCTATGAGTGCTACTATCAGGGGGACACTGAAAGAAAACAGGGCATCATGAAACTCATTGTCAGAGGTATACGTAACATGTTTTATTATTTGAATGTTCAAATGAAGTCAATGTCTTCTGAATTGGTAAACCATTAATTAACTACGAGGACTATTGTTATTGTATCACATTTATCTGATGTCTCTGGTCCACATGTTTGTCCAAACGTTGAACTCTAAATAATTTTGGACAATGGATGAGTCATCTTCTGCCAGCAGACCTAATGACTTAAAACTCGTGTCACGTGAGCAAAGGGACATAGTTTGCTGGAAGTCAATACCACTCCCTACTCTGTTGAGAGAGAGTATGTCACACGGAATTCCAGTGTATTCCAGTGTATCTTTTTAGCCTAAGAACAATTGAACTTTTCCACATTTACTTTACTGTATTAACTTGCTAAGATGCGGAGATAAGAAATCTTCACTCCGACTCTGATCTTTGCAAGTAAATAACGACAGATACGGCATGTATAGAGGAGTTGAAATATTTTACTATCTTCGTGTCCTTATCTATACCTATCAAGTTGAATGACGTCAATTATAATATCTGGATTACACCCAGATTGTGCTGAGAATAAGTGGAGTCCACCCTCCTGCGGCGCTGACTGTCCCGTGTGCTACAACGGCGGTGTGTGTGACGACAACACGGGGGAATGTGTCTGTCCTCCGGGGTTCTATGGACAAAACTGTGAAAGCGGTACGTATCATTCAGATGCCTTTTTTTTGGTTAACATCGTTAAAGAAGGTAATTTTTTTTGGTAGTCAATGACTTTTTTAATGTTTGGATGTATTTCAACACCATGTCGTTTAACACCATGATTCAAGAAGCTTTGAATGGACTACCATGGATTGCTTTGGCATATCGAAGAAATGATAAGAGTGTGGGCATCTTGATATCTCGTGTCTGAGCGAGCCCTGAAACAGCAAGAACTACCGGCTCCAGTTTTGTTTTGTGATTTTGGAAGGTTAAAACGCATGAAAGGGTTTAAAAGATTGAATATGATTTTCTGTGCGTAAGTATATAATATAGTAATATATATATATATATATATTCATCATAGGAATTTCAAACACATAAGACGTATAATAAAGAAAAGAGACACATCGATAGATATCAATTATGCAAATGAAGACATTATTTTAAGTAATTACTAACCAATACTACAATACCATTAAAATAACTGTTGCTAAGACTTGGGCAACTTCGGAAACCTATAGTCATATGGGCAGGGATTCGGAAGTTAACAAACTGATGAAATTTATGCAAATGTTGACCTTTTTTGCGCAATCAGTTACAATGTGGTTTACACACGATCGTGAAACTCTTGTTAATGACATCTTTCTTTGGGCGGTATGTTCTAAATGTAGTACAGCATTGTCTTCAATGGCTAGCTTTGAAAAGTTTGTTTTGAAATAAAAATTCGAAAGGTTAAGCTCGTGTGTTAGATGTATCAAATGACGTCGGTAAATTAAAACTTATAAAAACGCATAAAAAGACTTACTTCAACTATGTTCCATTCTGTTCTTAAAGCATGCATGCATGCCAAAATCGGTACAAGCTGCACGAGAGAGTGTGACGGTGGCAACTGTACGGGACAGCTGCTGTGTGTGATGGACCCGTACGGCTGTTCCTGCGCACCTGGACTCATGGGCATAGAATGTAATACTGGTGAGACTACATGCTAGTAATATATATATAGCTCATTTCATTGTGTGATGATTAATATCTAAACCTTTAATGTTTTGCCATGTTAGGCATGTTTTGATATGACAAACATCATGGTTTTCAAGGTGATCAGCTTTTTCACTGATTCTTTTTGGAATACTTCGTAACACTTAACGTTAGTAATGATGTCCATGTTTAGAGTGTCCAGACGGCATGTACGGAGCTGGCTGCACCCAAACCTGTCACTGTGCAGATGGACCAACAGCCTGTGACAAGAAGACTGGAGCATGCACCGGGGGGTGTCTGGACTTCTGGACTGGGGACGCGTGCCAGATACGTACAGGTATACATATAAGCCCCAGTCACAACCCGTTTTTTGGGAGGCCACGTCTGCTACGTTTTTCTGAAAACGTGGGGAAGGATTGGCGTCGACGCACGTCACTCGCAGGGTTGCGCAAAGTTTAACCCTCAAACACCCGAACGGGGTCCATTTGGACCCCAGGCGTATATTTTCATGTGCTATTTGACTTTGTCAATAAACCTCGTCTTCAAGTTCTCCTAATTTTTTGTTTGGAGATCGAGACAAATTTGTAAGAATAACAACGGGAAGTCTGATGTAAGACCGCCTGGGGTCCAAACTGTCTCAATCTCAGGAATAAGGTCATCAGGTTTTCAGAGGAATTTCACCTTTGACAATCATATGGGGTCAAAGGTCAACCCCATGTTCATGCCTGCAGGCCTCATCCTGATTTGCGTAAATTATGATAATGAGCTGCAATTATTTTACATCTTTAATCATGCTAAAATATACCTCTTACTATGTTTAACCAACATATGTGCAAAGATCACTGAAAGATTGCAAAAAGGAATATTAATTTGAAAGAAACCAAATGTTCGGTCATTACCGTCACAAAAAAAGTTCGGGTGTTAAGAGTGTGGCCTGCACTCCCCGTCTGGCACCGTTCCTCGTGGTGAGTTGTACGTGCTTACAACGTACGATCTCTGTGCGGTTGCAACTTTACCGTAAGGAGGGCCTTACTCACACGTGCGTCTTATGTACGGTACGTACAGGGCACGCGCGTCGCCCGTACTCGCACGCACGAGTGGTGAATCCGCAGACCGCACGTAGACAAAGTTTTACATGCACTTAAAGTTCTACGACGTGTCTGCGTGCTCCCAAATCCGTAGAATTCCGTATGGAGGTGGTACTCACCACGCACGAATGCCCTGCGTTTGCCTAACCTCCTTCGCAGTCTTGTTGGGCGTCGGCGTTATTTTTTCTCTGAGCACGCGAGTAATATGCGGCCGCGAGGGACGATTTGCTGCAGAGGGAGTTTTTGCCACGGAGAGAAGGTTAACGCCAACGCCCAAAAAGACTGCGAAGGAGGCTAGCGTTTGCCCACGTTTTTGCACGTAGACAGCACGCAGATGCACGTACGGCGGGTTGTGACCAAGGCTATACTGGGATTAAAGTGTCTGAAAGAGTAACTTGTCTTTGTTACTATCTACTTTAAAGCTAGCAATCTTAATACAACGGTAGTAAGAGGTAGGCCGAGGTCTGTTACTGTTGACTTTATGTAGTAATTTCATGGTGCAATCTTCCTCTTTAATGTTCTTACTGTTTTTAAGAAAGTTCTGTTGCTCTTAGAATTATGTAACATTTCTGTTCTAGTGGCTGTCTCCTACGAAGATCTTTTCAGCAAGGAGGAAGGTCATTTCTTCTTCGGTAGTTCTTCTGACCACATAACAGCATACAGTGACATAGACTCGGAAGAGTGTGCCCGTCGCTGTCTGCAAGGTTACGACAGCTACGATGGCGTCAATCCGACATGTCTGTCCTTCAACCATCGCCCAGCCGGCTCGCCAGAGGGCGTCAGTGCACGGTGTTGGCTCAGTAGTTCTGACACGGACACGGCGGCATCTCCTGGTCCTGAGTGGGACAGTTGGCCTTACCGAAATTACTACCAGAGGAAACGTAACTATTAATATTATACTTCTTTTTGACAAGGATGCCTATTCCCTAATCTCTAAAATTATGTGGACATAAACATTATAAATGATGTGCAGAGTTGAACAAGTAGCAGGTATTCCATCCGTATTAGCATTAGCTAGTTTTTCTATTTAGCAAATATTTCTTAATTACGTTAATATAATCTTTTGCTTCTTAAAAGTACTTACTTAAATGCACTAGTTACCCTAATAACAGTACCCAAGTGTACACAAGTTCTGTTTGTTATAAGTTTGGGTATTTGCTTGTATTTCCAAACTTATAGCTTCACAGGCAAGGCACGCCAGGTACACGGACAGCCATAAATATTCTGCTATATATGCACATATGTAGCAAAATGTCTTATGTCAGTGGTAAAACGCATAGACTGGGAATGATGAATAAAACATGCAATTCCATTAAAACAACAACAAGAATCATTTTCCGGAGGCACGAGACCTTTGACTCCTTGTATCATAAGCTGAATGCATGCCATCTTAACTGTCACAAAAGGTCACTAAGATGTGCCAACGTCGGTACCAAAATTGCAATTGAATCATGCCGTCTATTGTTTTCAGATATCCTGGCGCCCCAAGACTGTACTGACATACTCGCCCTCGGGATTCGTCATGTTTACACAGTCGGCAACCCACAGCCATTCCAAGCCTACTGTGACATGGACACTGATGGCGGTAGCTGGACGGTCATACAGCGGCGGCAGGACGGGTCCGTACAGTTTAACAGGACTTGGACTGAGTACGAGCAGGGATTCGGGAATACAAGTGGAGAGTACTGGCTGGGATTAAAGAACATCCACAGTCTGACAACACAGAAACAAAGCGAACTGTACGTGTATCTGGACAGGACTGGGTAACGAACAGTCGGGTTGCGCGGTACAGCACGTTTTCTGTGGGAGATGCCAGCAGCAAGTATACGGCAACGATCGACGGGTACAACGGGACTGCAACTGATAGCTTGGACCCGTCTACAAAAGATGGACGTCACAGTATCAACAACAGACCGTTTTTTACAACAGATCAAGATAACGACGGTGTCAGTAGTACCGACTGCGCAGGAACGTACGGACAAGGAGGCTGGTGGTACACTCCAAGTTGTGGTTACGCCTTGTTAAACGGACAGTATCTGACAGGCTGCTCAGTACCTTCAGCTTCCTGCTCCAGTGCAAACGGAATCGTCTGGTACACCTGGTTGGGTTACAGATATTCCCTGAGGAAAACAGTCATGATGGTCAGGTCAACCAATGTTTCAGGTAACTGTCAAAGTCGCTACTTTTGGCATCTATTGCACAGCAAGGTTATTGTAGGAAAGATCATTTAGTATGTCTTTATATAGAGATTAATGACTACCTTGTTTGTACATCTCGGGCAGCTAATGGTGAACAGATCTGTCTGGAGGAAGAAAGTCACCTGGTCCTGGCAAGACGCCCGACAAGATGATGATGATTATGATGATGTTTGTCTCCTTTCAGCAATTTTGTGTTGATTATAATTTTAAATCACTTTAGGGGCTTAACGGCATATACAACTGCCGTGCGGGAGGTCATTAGGGTAAAACAAACTTGGGAAAACCGTCGGTGCAGTCAGGTAACAAAGCATGGTATTCATTATATTATAATTAATCAAATGCGAAATGTCAACTCTATGTCATTCTACCATGTCTCCGCAGCGTCCCCATTCAAAAACTGCCAGCATGGCGGAACCCTGACGCCAGGACCTGAAGATTCCGGACTTTACATCTGCGCATGTGCTGAGGGATGGCATGGTGTATTCTGTGATCAGGGTGAGTCATTTATGTACTGTAATGAATAATGAATGGTTGAATGAATGAATGAATGATTTTATAATAGTTTGTGCCAGTTATGCGTAGTCCATATTGGCAGTAGTTATTGATTACCACGGTCTATTAGATACAGTGTATACTTACTGTTACATAGTGACAGCATATTTGCAAGCTCAATTTGTCTCAATTAAGGTTGTTTAATGGTAGAGTGCCATGAAAATTGAAGCTAGCAGCAACAAATGTGATCAATATATGGCTTTTTTTATCACCCGCCTTGTTTTGATTAATAGAAAAAATCGATCGCCTTGATTGCTCTACATAAATTTCGTACAGAGTGTTCCGGTACGTACGGCCCTGACTGTGGTATAACCTGTGGACACTGTTACGGGAACCAGACCTGTGACAGGTTAACCGGGAAATGTCCGACTGGAGAAGCTTCCGTGTGTGCGGCTGGATACTATGGTGACAAATGTGATCGCGGTAAGTATTCTTTTCGGTTACAAAGAACTAATTAGATCGCTATTTCTGTTACAGAGTTAGTCGACATATAATGACAATGACAATGAACGTTATTGCATATCCATGCCCTACATTTGCCAAATGCCCCAGGTTAGATAACTGAGGAACAAGGGTAGAAGAAAGAAGTATTACATAACATACCTATATTAGTGTATAAATATAGGGTTTTCCTTCTCTCTTCTTAAAACATGCATAGTTTAACTTACATGTACATTGTTTTGTCATTCATATCGTAGTTCCTAAACGACTTGGTATGCTTAAACAATTCTTCAACGTATGGTTCATAACCTGACGTTTTACCTACGTCGATAAGCTAATTTGAATTGATAATTCCAAGGGTAAAAAATACTGATAAAAATTTGCTGACTATTTCAGAATGTCCTCACGGCTTGTACGGAGGTGACTGTACCCAAACCTGCCACTGTGCAAACGGATCAGACTGTAACAAGACGATTGGAGTCTGTAATGGGGAGTGTGTTGACTTTTAGACTGGGGAAACGTGTCAGAACCGTACAGGTATTTCATTTTTTTTAATTTTTTTATTTTTCAAAACAGTGGTCAGCATAGCAGCAGTACATAAATAATTATGAACCGCTGAATTGTGCTGACCTTACATAGTACATAAAATACAACGTAGGGACAAACAAAACAAACAGATTAACGACAATTACAATATGTACAACATCTTATGATCATTTTTTTTGTAATTTCACACTGTTGATATTATGTGCCCTATATGTTTTGTCCTTATATGTTGACTCTCTAACATCAGCTTTGCTGCCTTGAGAGTCAGTGTAATGTCTTGTTGCATTTTCAATAAATAAATAAATAAATAAATGTACAACACATAAAAACTAATTCTGAATTTGAGGCTGATAGTGTGGTGCACAAATGAACTCTGCAGTCTGGAGGTTCTTGCCATGGGATCCCTGAGTCCTCCTGCGTTTAAGGACCTCCCAGTGCTCATCAGCCCCTCCACCAAGTCATGGAGGGGATGGTCTGCGTTCAGCATGGCTTTGAGCAGTTCTGCAGAAATAGATTTGGAGCAGTTGGCCCTTCTTGCCTTTCAGAATCTTTCAGAGTCATCCTGTTAAAATTAAATTACCATCGTTGTTCTTAGGGTATAAGTAATAAGATACATGTACATATAGAGTTTGCTGTATTATATTTTGTAATTTCATTTTGGACAGTTGTAACATTTCTGATTTAGGGACTGTTTCATACGGGGATCTCTTCACGAAAGAGGAAGGTCGCTTCTTTGGAGACTCTCCTTATAACCACATAACAACGTACAGCAACATAGACGCAGACGAGTGTGCTCGCCGCTGTTTGCAAGGTAACGGCAGTTACCATGGAGTCAACTCGACATGTCTGTCCTTCAACCATCGCCCTGCCGGCTCGCCAGAGGGCGTCAGTGCACGGTGTTGGCTCAGTAGTTCTGACAAGGACACGGCGGCATCTCCTGGTCCTGAGTGGGACAGTTGGCCTTACCGAAATTACTACCAGAGGAAACGTACGTACACTATACTTTTGTTTAACAAGGATGACAATATATGTTTTACACGAGGGACTCATTTTATATTGATGCACCACCTATTATTCCTATTCCTAGTTTTCACAATGTGTCTTGTTATCCCAATTGCCCACTGTTTCCAGAAATCCTGGCGCCCCAAGACTGTACTGACATACTCGCCCTTGGGATTCGGCACAGTCATGTTTACACCATCGGCAACCCACAACCATTCCAAGCCTACTGTGACATGGACACTGATGGCGGTGGGTGGACGGTCATACAGCGGCGACAGGACGGGTCTGTGCCGTTTGACAGGACTTGGACTGAGTACGAGCAGGGATTCGGCAATCCTACTGTAGAGTATTGGCTGGGATTGGGGAACATCCACAGTCTGACAACACAGAAACAAAACGAACTGTACGTGTACTTGGAAGACTGGGAAACAAACAGTCGGTTTGCGCGGTACAGCACGTTTTCTGTAGGAGATGCCAGCAGCAAGTACACGGCAACGATCGAGGGATACAACGGGACTGCAACTGATAGTTTGGACCCGTCTTCTCAAGATGGGCGTCACAGTATCAACAACAGACCATTTTCTACAACAGACCAAGATAACGACGGTGTCAGTACCGACTGTGCGGGTCGATTCGGACAAGGTGGCTGGTGGTACACTCTAAGTTGTGGTTACGCCTTGTTGAACGGACAGTATCTGACCGGCTGCTCAGTACCTTTAGCTTACTGCTCCAGTGCAAACGGAATCGTCTGGTACACTTGGAGACGTTACCAGTATTCCTTGAAGAAGACGATCATGATGGTCAGACCAGCTAATTTTTCCGGTACGTGTTCAAAGTTCTAGGCCCGGCTTTGTGCGTACATTGTTATCGTCGCAAAATAAAAAAAAATTCTTTGGTAATTTATTCAGGACGTAATATATTGTTTGGGGTTACTGAGAACTGTGTATTTTTGGTTTAAAGGTAGTACGTCAAAAGGGTCCCGGCTATAATATTGTGTCTACAAGAGCTTAGTAATTAATAAATGGCAACAGCATACTTTGTTCTTACAGTCTCATCATTCAGACCGTGCCAGAATGGTGGAACCCTCACGTCAGGACCTGTTGAGTCAGGACTATATATCTGCACGTGTGCACACGGATGGTACGGTGCATTTTGTGACCAGGGTAGGTGATCTTTCTTTTGTATACAATAAAATGGCGATTTTATGGTCTACTAGTCAATTTTGTGATATAAAGTGGCTGCATTCTGATAAACTAACTTACTCTTAATAATTGTATTTCTTTTAGAGATTGTGGACACTGTATGCTTAAGGAATGTCCATTTTATGGGGAATGCGTTATTGTAGCCAAAATACTTAGTGTCTCAAGAAAGTCATAAAGACGGAAAAACACCCACTGTCTACAGAAAGTCCTAAAGACGTGACAGTGAGCGTCAACACAGTGAACTCTACGACCCTACACGTTACCTGGACGGTAGGAGTATCCGGTAACATCAGCATCATCGACTCCCAAGTACGTTACAAACAGAGTGACACGGAGAGCTGGGGAGCATGGACGTCAGCTGGAGCTTCTATTGGGGACGGCGATGTCTACATTTACAACCTACGACCAGGAGCCATGTACGATGTTCAAGTGCGGGTGAACACCTCGTTAGGGTGGAGTGATCTTAGCAATGTGAGGGGAACTACAGTCGAAACGCGTAAGAAATCTTATCATCTTTAGTTTGGGCAGTCCTTTTCGAGGTGGTGGCCCTTCTTAAGATATTACTTTAAACAATAATCATGTATTCATGTGGAGCATGGCGTCGGTTGGAATTGCGCTGCCTAGTGCTCCACCGTGTATTGCTGTTGCAACTAGAATAGATAAATAAAGAAAGTTGAACATGGATCCAATCAGTCTATTGTGTACCACAGATAATGCTCTGCATAGGCCTCTGCATTGTACATTTGCAGCTCCCGGTCCTCCCCGCAATTTGGCAGCCGTACCAACCTCACACAACTCTGTCCACCTGACCTGGGATCCTCCGATAGAACCCAACGGCAAGATCCATAACTACACAGTTCAATATGGAGCATCGCAGCATTGCTTTGAGTATGCGTTTCTACTTGAAGTTACAACTGCAGGCGACATCACCACTACTGTTATTGGACACCTAGACCCGTATACAAACTACGCATTCCGGGTGCGAGGGTCAAATAGTGCAGGAGGAAGCAACTTTAGCAACTGTAACATCGCAAGGACGCTGGAATATTGTGAGTATACCATATTAGGCCATGTTGATTTGATTATATGGATGACATCCTCTGGGAACCCCAAAACCGATGCGCGCGTGCGAATAAAAAAAAAGTTTTGCAAAAAAAAAAGTTGATTTCACTATGAAATCTACGTGGTCATGAAGGTTGAACAAATGGCACAGAATATGTTATGGCGAATAATCTACTCTTCGAATTCATTTCTTTACATTTTTGTCTTTTTCCTTTGATTTTGGCATTCTACGACATTGGTATCGTTTCTAAATGTTTTCCTAGCAACTTATGACATATTTTTGCTCATTTAGCAACTGTTTTGCACGATTTACAGTATGGTTGAAAACTTTTTTTTTTGTTGGAAACGGCCGAAAATTCATGCGCGCGCGGATGTCACCCATATAATCAAATCAACATGGCCTTAAATAAGAATGGCTCCTAAAAAAGCATGTTGACGAGTGTATATTTACCTTCGCCAAGAATTGACGAAGGTTATGTTTTCCTGGCCGTGTGTCTGTGTGTCAACAGCATAACTCGAGAAAGCTTAAATGGATTATCTTGATATTTGGTAGGTGGGTAGGTCTTGATGAGACCTGGAAATGATGAGACTTTGGACCCCCTAGCGGCTTGTTAAGGTTCTTCCGAGACGCTTGGCATAATTATGTGACAAAATATGCAAATCTGGATGTAATTTGCATAATTAATGGGAAAATTCTATAAATCAGTTTCATTACATTATAGGACTATTCAAGCTTGTGACATGTAATTGAGAACGAGAGAAACACAGGCAGATATTGATTATGTAAAATAACACTTAATTTGCATAATTGATAAGAAAGTGTTATAATTCCATTATGCGAACTGCCTGGAATTTCATACTTGGGGTGTTTGAAAGTTAAGTGAAGGTGAACATCATTAAACATAACTTATTCAAATAAGGACCTCATTTGCATAATTTATGAGGAAATGATAGAATGGCTTTCTTTGAGATAAGGCTGTCTTGATGGAGAATATGATCAACTGATATAATTCATGCAAATGAGGATCCTATTATCATAATCAGTAGGAATCATCTCTGTCAGTCATAAAGATTAACATAATTTGGCGAAGGTATGAGATCGTGGGTCTCTAGTTTGCTTTGTTGGCATAGAGGATGATCACAGTGACCTCAAAAACAGCCAACGAAGGTAATAGTCATGCATATCATTTGAATTCGAGCTGTTTTCCTTTTTAATGTTATCGGATATTTTTATATATATTTTTTTTAATTGGGAACAAAACAACAGATGCATAACATTCCAAGTTTACAATCATAGCCTTTATTATGTTCGCCAGACGTGCATTGGGCCAAGGGTTTCAAAACATAAATTCGATTGCTAGTAATAATTGGTTAACTCTCAAACTTATATGCACTTTTAATTACCCTCTAAGGCTATATTAGATAAATTAACCGACTTGGAGGTTATTGTTAAGAAAGAGCTTATTGTCCATGTTGTTTGCGACTGCTTCGTAACTGCATTGGTAGAAATAGGAGTGGTGTATTAGTTTTTCATTCTAGATTGATATAACTTGAATGCTATGATTCCCTTCTAGACCAACCTGCACCTGTTGCTGCTATCGTTGGCGGCAGTGTGTCTGCTCTGCTGGTGGTTCTTCTGGTGACAATAGGGATAGTTTGTTATAGGTAAATAAAGTCTCGATTCATATATTAATAGACTCTATAAACACTAGAATCTATTAATGTGCCTCATGACTAAACACTTTGTACACTGACTGGTAAAATCATTTTAAAGACACCTAAAGCAATTTCGGGGTAAAGTAAATGTTCTGATCATTCTTTTAATGTAATAAATTCAATAACATGTTGATAAATGTAGAGAAAATGTGTTTGTCGCTGAAGGAAACTTGTTGTTTTTTATATTAAAGTTTGTTTTGTGGCGACAAAAATACTCTTGGATTTGTCAGTATTTTTAATTGCCACATTCCCTTATACAGAGTATGTTTAGTATTGCCACGCAAATTGCAATGTATGCCTTTAAAGGAAAAGGAAGGCCGAAGACGACCGGGACCCTACAGATCCTCAGATAGACCTGACGATAATCATGGAAAACGAACCGTCCACGGAAGAATCAGCTGAGAATCCTGCAGCAATAGAAGAAGACTTCTCACCATATGACACGGTAATGAACTTTGAATCACACTTTCTTCAATTTTACAATAATTACATTTACCAATGATCATTTCAGGTATAGTTAGGGCTGTTACTATATGACTGAAATAATAACTTTATTAATGTACATTGTTAATCACCAATACCTTTACTCGCGATGAATATGTCAGGTTTCTAAAATTTCGTTAATGCATAAAAATCAGAATAGCACATTTGTTCCAACTTAGGTTTGGCAGACGTTAACTTCTAGCCCAATGTAAATCACACTTTCTATGTACTACAGACTATTTACAGCATCGCAGACCTCGTCACTGTTGACGATGTAGTGGAATTCCTAAAAGCCAAGGGGCTTGGCCAATATGCTGCAGCATTCAGGCGTAAGTTAAATCATACTTAATATAATCATATTTACTTCCTACAACAAAAAAGTAAAACTGTGTTTTTACAGCTAGAAAAAAGTGTTAAACGGCAAATTTGGATCTCTTAGTGTGCACCTGTGGAGTTTGTGTGTTACGGCGAGGGGCGGTTATGCGGGCTCCTACAACAACAAAAAAGGAAACCTGTGTTTCTACAGCTACAAAAAGTGTTTACTGATGGCAAAAATGGATCTCTAGTGTGCACCTGTGGAGTTTGTGTGTTACGCCTAGGGCCGGCGGTTATACGGGCTATACAGGTACAGATGCTGATGGGAATGGTCTTTATCAGGGCACAAGGTAGACGGAGAAGGAGCCATGTCCCTGACCAGTGACATGCTTGCTGAGCTCGTCCCTGAGATCGGACCGCGGGCAAAACTGCAGAAGGCCCTTCAAGAGCTGAAGGACAATCAGGTATCATGACTTTACCTCGTCGAGATAAAGATGTTGGGTTTATATTGCTTTTCATGTTAAGTAAAATATATCGTGCTTCAAACAATAAGTACTTTTATTACGTTTCATTGACCGTAAATGTTCCGATACAAATCTGACGTTGAAGGTGGAAACAGGGAGGGAATGTTTTGGGCTTGACTGTCAGTAAGAATGAAACGTAGAAGAAAAGCTCCTCCCAATTACAGAGGAGCTTTCTACTGCCCCGGAAAATGACTCGTACGTCCTGACTTGTTGCTAACAATTGACTTCTAGGAGTCCGCTGAAAGCAGCAGACCACTCCACCCTGGCTGGGAAATCCCCCGCTCCAGCCTGAAGCTCGGCAAAGTCCTGGGGAAGGGTCAGTTTGGAGAAGTCCGTATAGGGGAGCTGAGGAAGAGAGGCGTCACCCAGATTGTGGCAGTTAAGACACTGAAAGGTGCATTTTAAACATATCGCACATTTAACAAATGGCTTGAGTATTTAGGATAAAATATCCCGAATTTAAAGAATGAATCATCTGAGATTCGTCAGAGACCTAAAATTTATCGGGGGTAATAAACCCTTTGTCTTTGTTTATTTTGTGTCTCAGATTACATCTATAAAAAGTCATGATCTATGTATAAATCATGCCTTTTCCTTGTATTGTTTCTTTGATATAAAGAATGCTTGTGATGTAACATGATGAATGTTGGGAAAATACCGGGGTTCATTGCACTAGAAGACATGGCTGCTGCGGCTGAAAACAGAAGTACCTGGTGAAGTACCGTCAGAACCAGTTGTCGACCAATGCAACAGTAAAGTTGCAAGAGGAACTAAGGTCTAAGATGATGAACTAGCACATTTTATCTTGGAATTTGTTATGTTTTCTCAGCTTCTGCAGAGGAAAAGGATAAAGAAGACCTCATTGGAGAGCTGGACATACTGGTTACAGTTGGTCGTCATGACAACATCATCAGTCTGGTTGGTGCATGCACGGTAGAAGGTAGGAATTCAACCTTCGTGTATCTTTAATGTAAGGTCACTTTTTTAATGAATGTCATTTTCACAGTCACCAAAAACAATGGCCCTCTTTATTTATCCCGGGGTGAAATAAATGACATAAACATTTTAATATCAAAGACAAAGTACTTCAATATGGGTTCATGCACTTGTGACATGAATGTGAAACGACTGTTGACGTTTTACATGTCTATCAACTATCTTGTCTATATAATGTCAAAATATTTGTCAAAACGTTCCGCCTTAGGCCCGCTGACACTTGTTGTTGAATACGCACCCAATGGATGTCTGAAGGACTGGCTGAGAAATAACCGTCCCAAGGAGCTAAACCGGTCAGACAACAGAAACCTTGCCACCTCCGGGATTCTGTTGCCAATGGAGCAACTGATCACGTTTGGTATAGACATAGCAAGTGGGATGAGTCACCTTGCTGCCATGCAGGTACACGTGTAGAGAGCTTGTTACTGTGTTAAATGGCTGTCATTTGTGGATAGGCTGTAGGATCGAAGCATTATCTTATATCTCACTTATTGTCAGTAATTATAATAGCATTTGAAACAGTGTCAGCGACGTGCGTACAACTGTAGATTCCAATGCATGTTATCCTAAGGGGTGGGAAGAACAAACATGCTCGACGGTGTTGAAATAGAAAAAAAAGGACGGGGGAGGGGGTCTCATTCTAATTCATCTATTGTTTTATTTCGTCAATCCAGTGTGTCCACCGTGACCTTGCCGCCAGGAATGTGCTCCTCGGGAAGGACCTGACGGCCAAAATCTCAGACTTTGGTCTGTCACGGGATATCTACGAGGGATCTGAGTACGTCAAGAGCACGAAGGTAGATCTACATTCTGTTCGCAGATGACACCTCTCTTACTGTAGCTCACCGTTCCATCAACACAGTTGTAGACTCACTGAACACAGATCTGGCTACAGTTTCCGAGTGGCTACAACACTGGAAACTAGAGGCTAATAGGGACAAATGCAAAGTTATGTTTCTCACTACCCGCCCCCTCCCACAAAGGATCCCCCCGGTCATCTTAGCCGGTACCACCTTACAGATTGTCCACAGTCACAAACACCTGGGTGTGACCCTAACCAGTAAACTCACCTGGTCTGCACACGTCGAAGCCATGACAAACAAGGCAAGACGTACTGCTGGAATGCTCTGCGCCCTTCGAAAAAAGGTGCCCAAGACCATACTACTACAACTGTACAAAATCATTGTCAGACCAGTTCTAGAATATGCTGACATCGTCTGGGGTGGTCTCACCATGCGTGATCAAAAGACCATCGAATCGGTCCAATACCGGTCAGCCAGAGTGATAAGTGGACACCACGGGATTCCTTATCCCTCTCACAAATCTCTCTATTCTCAGTTTGCCCTCCCTTCACTTACTTACCGTCGTAAGGTCCACGCAGTAACCACTCTGTACAAATTGAAGAATGGTCACTGCCCGCCCCACCTAGCTAGTTTATTACCTGTTACCAGGACATCCGCCATACATTCCAGATACCCCCTCAGAAATGGAAATAATCTTTGTGTACAAATCCCTAAAAGCTCCAGAACACAGAATGCCTTCCTCCACAGAGCCACCCTCTTATGGAACTCCCTCTCAGTTGACATTCAATCGGCCCCTACACTGTTTTCTTTTAAAGCTAAAGCACGGAAATCCTTCGGGGATCCATATTCTACTTAACTACACATCACATTTGTGTCACCTCCCGACTTAACAGTTGTACATATTATCTCCGAGTCGGCAACTTTGTAAATACATGGACTCTACTACTCAAACAATATGTATTTCATAAATGTAAGCACATATTATTCTTATTGTATTTGGATTGTAATATGTATTTTTATGTATGTATAACGTTTCTCCCTACTCCCCAGGGTGTCCCTTAATAATAGTCTCTGACTAGTTGGGACACCCTGGCTTCTTTGTAAGCCAAATAAATAAATAAATAAGATCTACATGCTCTTCATCTACAATAACAACAACAAACCTATCCAGCAACTCCCGTACACCATGTATCGGAAGTTTATTTAATCCATAAATCTTGATAAAAACACATATGAATATCAGCTTGCATTTACCATGATGTTGCTATTGGGTACCTGACCTGTAGACACTAGACATTGTATGCAATATTATATATGAGTTATGTGTCTGCTTTAATTACTGAAAGTAGTACTATAAAAATATTATTGTGAGGTGATAGTATCACGCCCAAAATTGCACTTTGTCATATGTCATACACCACTTGTCAATTGAATGCAATGAAAATCTCGATCAGTATGTCTTTAATTGAATCTCATATTCGATAATAAGGCATTGAAGAGCCAATGGATAAGGGTGTTGTAAAGCAGATACAAGTCATTTGCTGATGTCAACAATCTAATGTGTTCTTAACATTCCTTTTTCCCGTTTAGAGTCAGCTTCCTATCCGATGGGTGGCATACGAGTCCCTGTTCTACAAGGTGTACACCACACAAAGTGACGTGTATGTATTTTACATGTATAGCAGTTTTAGACATCTAAACACAGTTAACATTTACGTAACCTCCTATGAAACAGGTCTGTATTTGTTTATCACGTTACTGTGAATGTCTTTTCCATGTTTCAGGTGGTCCTTTGGAATCCTTCTGTGGGAGATAATGACAATGGGTAAGAGTGCCGTATATAGTTTCGTGGAATGTTTAAACGGTGTGGGCACATTTGTTAGTGTATTAGACACAGGTTATACAATCATGTAGTTGTCCCGTAAAAATCTCTCACATCTTTATGGTATTACATTTTCTTAAAATTAATCATTAACTTTCGAGTTCTTCTGAGATGTCATACATATTCCTAATGTGTCACATTCATACATGTGTGATGACCAAAAATGTCATGTTTACAGATTTTTTGCTAAAGTTGGAGTAAACAATAGCTTATAAATTTTCTCTTCAAGGTAAACAGCCCTATGGCAGGATGACAGGCAAAGAGCTCATGAAGCTTCTCCCAGGTGGCTACAGGCTGGGGAAACCCGCTATGTGTCCCCAAGATGTGTGCGTTTGCGGTCTCGTATTCAGGTTGTGTGTGTGTGTGTGTGTGTGTGTGTGTGTGTGTGTGTGTGTGTGTGTGTGTGTGTGTGTGTGTGTGTGTGTGTGTGTGTGTACGGGTGCGTGTGTATGTGTGTGTGCGTCTGTGTGTGTGTGTGTGTTTGTGTGTACGGGTGTGTGTGTGTGCGCGCGCGTGTGCGTGTGTACGTGTTTTTTGTGTGCGTGTATGTGTGTGCGCGCGTGTGCGTGTGTGACATGAGGGATTAGTTTAAATATATTGTACTTCTACATAAAGCCACATAAGGAATACTCTAATTGGACTAACTGACTTGTTGCACCGATGTAAATATTTTGTACCCAACAGTTACGAAGTGATGAAGACCTGCTGGGAAACACTTCCTGAGAACAGGCCAACTTTCCCGGAGCTGAAGGCAATACTGGATCGGATCATTCAAGATCACAAGGTAAAATTCTACATAAGAGGATTTATATTCGTTTTTCCGTTTAAGATCACAAGGTAAAGTTTTATAAATGCATCATTCATAGCGAATGACAGCGATGAGACGGAATTCGACCGGTTTCGACTTTATTCGTCTTTCTCAATAATCCATGATAATCATATGCATTGATTTTTAAAGTAATTAATGGTCTTATTCCGAATTATTCCATTTCCACTTTCTATTTTTCTCTCGGGTGGGTGAGATAAAAGAGTATTGTTTACGTTTGTTTACTTTTGCAGACATGTGCCTCATTGCTGAATTAGCAAACTACAAGGGAAGAGAGCGAAGGAGCAGAAGCTTTTTGCCAAGAAGGAAATATGATACTGTCTTATTTTGTAAATAACAAGAACACAAGATTTGTATGTTGATTGTAACTAGGACTATCCAGTATACGGAATTCAGTTTCACTGAACGAAATCGTCCATTGCTTATAGAATATGTCAATATTAAGCTGTATATATCCAATATTTTGTCACAAACACAGTGCATGCTAGTATACTGTACAGGTACACCATATCCAAATAATCTATTAAGGACAAATAGCTGAAAAAACAACTTACATTCATATCTGGCTGTCCCAATGGCTTGGTCACATATATCATACATAGGTAGTTAACCCTTGTCCTGCGGAGCACAACAATTATTGTTCTGCACATTCAGTACCATCCATATAGCACCCTGTATAGGTACGATTTGGGGGTATTTCTCGTGCAACGCATCACACCGCGAAACGCAACGAATGCAGAAGTAACTATGCCACCGAGACATGGAATTATTGAAAAATATTGTGCCAGGAATACCAGCAGGCAATATATAACAGAATTGCATGTTAATGCCACGTACCAATAATGATTGCATCAAGACGTAAAGGTTTTTCCTATTCCAAGCTCAATTGGAGGTGTTAAGTATTGCGAGATGTGGGGCAAATTTGTGGCAGAAACAACAAAATATGTATTGAATTAGAGTTTTGAAATCGATTTACAAGCGTATATTTAGCTACCATGCTGCAAAAAATGTCAAATGCATAGCTTAAAATATTTTTTTTTATTTATGTTCCTAGGTAGTATATGTCGCTTTTACACACCGTTCCGTTCTGAACATTTTGGAAGAATTTTAATACACTTAAGTAATTCATAAGATAGTTCTGCCATTAACATATCTACCGTAAAGTTACAAATAACTTTAAAGATTTTCAATTTCATGTATTTATATATGTCTCATATATCTCATGCATATTTGCGATTTCATCATCTATAATAGCTCAGGCAATGCGGTAGTCGGTCGTAATTTGCTTCGAAGATGTGTAACCCGGTATCTGATACATGTATTTGGAAATAAGTAATGCTGCTAACGGAATTAAACATTTTTACTGCTTTAACCCTGGTGTTCCGCATGGCATTTTAGGATTAGGATACATTACCATTCATGTAATGCATTATTCTCGGCTTTCACGTGACGTCACGGGGCTTGCGTAATACAGGCGGCCGCCATTTTGGTGTACCTCGGTGTAGTGCTATGCAGTGTCAAGACGTTGGCACCGAAGCCATACAAGTAATTAACAGCCACAAGATAATTCTGCAGTCTTTGATGGTTGACAGATGACAAGGTTTTCAATGAAATTGTACATTTTTGAGAGGATAGGAAGTCAAAGGATACGATGACAAAGGATATAGGACGACAAAACTTGCGTATGTGTGAACGAACTTCAAAGACTAACGTTACTAGTATCTCCTTCACAGTCCTACAGTGGACAGGATCCGTATGTTGGTCACTCTAGTCTATTTTTTTTCTCAATAAATGAATTAAGAGAGAGAGAGAGAGAGGTTCTGGGAAGTGTGTTTTGGACAGTTCTCTGTGCGCGGGTCACCCGTGTGTCTGATTCCTTCTCGCGACAACTTGTGACTCGCTCGCGTAGCGGAAAACAACAATTTCGAGTGGAGCGGACGGGTTATCCCCAATCAAATTATGGTAAGCCTAAGTTTCAGCTTTTCTTGGTAATGTAAATCCTTGTTTTACTATCGGTTGCTGTTTCAAAATTATGGGTTCTGTGTGTAATAATGCAAAAGGCCAGTTTGATTCATGCCCGCCGGCGGCTTTGTTTGTTGTGTACTTTCATCTAGCCCCTTCGGTTTCGCCGCTGACAAACTGGAGTTCATGAATATTTTTTCAAGCACCAAAAAGTACTCATGTCTCTGTTGGAACCCCATTAGAATGAGAATTTCACATGACGGCTTGTCATCCCTGTCGACAGAAATTTTGTTGGCCGCCTCGAGTTTGCGGGAGTAAATCATCGACGTTGGGAGGGGCGCCTCCGGGCATAATTTTGTTTACGTACCCGTAGTTGTAGTTTTGCCGTGAAAAAAACGTTTTTGGGTAACCTCTCACAACCTATGCATGAATTAGCTTGTGAACATTGACATTACAATATTAGGGTATCATGATAAGCAGAATCTTAACGCAATTTTAGTGCTAAGATCGGTAATTTTGTTGGGCTGTCAGGGTGAACTCGGAGTTTTAGCACTTAGGCTCAAATTGAGTCAGACTGCCACGTGTATCAAAATAAATTCACTTGCACCGTGTAAACTATTGTTTTGTCGATGTTTAATGGAAATTCCTGGGTGCCATTTCTGCATGTACAGGAACATTTCTGACCTAGGTGTAGGGAAGATCACGTACGCGATATCCAGCAGCATTGTGTGGCGTCGGGCGGCTTTTGGCGTCAGAAGCCCCGCCCGGTCAAGCCGCCAGACCCGACTGTTCCGCGGCCCGCTTGTTGCGTTCTCTCGCCCTTTCGGCCCTCGCCCCTCCTTCTGTTCTTTGCTTTCGTCCCAATCTCTGTACTTCTTTCTTCCAAGGTTTTTTTTTAGTAGGGACCCAGGCAACATTGTGTCGGACCCAGGCGGGTGAAGCTTGCCCAGAGTCTTTGGCGATAGTAACTGGCCACAATCTCGGGATATTTCTGTGGCCGTATCCCCGCGGCTGATCGCAAAAATCCACAATCTGCGATGTTTTTCGGTCAGTTTTTCTTGGTCCTTTCCTTGATTTGTAATCACCTTGGCACACATTGAAAAGATACACTGTGTTTACCACTTTTTTTGACCCGCAACCAGCTACAAAACAATGAACCATGTACATAGCGCATAGGCTACGCGGGGTTGTAGGTACACCAAAATGGCGGATGACACCCGTCGCTAAGGTCGGGTCACGTGACTGAAACCCAAGAATTGTCTCCTTCAATTTCAAGCAAACGTAATTATAAGGCCTCTAAAATATTGCAAGTGAAAAATAACGATATCCATTTTACACATTTTCCCCATGAACGAAAATAACGTACCGTAATGTGAGTTGGTCTTGTTTTTAATCCTCTAAAAACACTTTAACATATTGGCAGAAGTCTAAAACATTATGTGGTAATCAGGAGAGTTAGTCACCCATACTAATTTAACCTCTGACCCCTAAAACGGCAGGAGAACGCAAAGAAAAACCGTGTTTATGTGAATAGAGTGAGCTCGAGAGTCGGAAAAACACCCGAAAGCAAGATTCAAAGCCAAAATCAACTTTTAACCAAAAATCACCATTTATTACACACTCTTCAGCCATGTTAATCTTTAATGATAATTCGTGGCATTTTTTTAGAAATGTTACCGTGATCGAGTACACATTTTTTTGCCAAGGGGCACCTGTCCGGGCCTGGAAATGCCCCGGCTGATTGCAACTAAAGCACAAACCCGTCATCCTGGTGTAGTGGTAGTCAACGCTCCTTGCCTGCCCCACGGGGTGAACCGCGGGCCGAGCGGGTGGGCAGTGCCACTGCCGCGAACCTTTTCGCGATATCTTCATCCTCTTTTGGCCCGAGCGCATGGAGAACCACCATGCCAAGTAACGGGTAGTGTCCGTAAGCCTTGGCCTCCTTCAAGGTCGTCCCGGAAGGTAGCCATCTCTGCATGGTTACTCTCTCTGGCTTTTTCCTCCAAATATGTCAATGCTGAGATGATCCTTGCAGCTGAGAACAGGGGCGGAGGGATTCTCGCCTCTTCAATCACCTGGAACTTGGCGGCGTCAGTACGTTGCTTCTGCCTCATGTCCGTTAGATCCTGCACTTGCTTCTTCAATTTTGCACAGTCTAAACATAACGGGACGCGGCGTAGGTTGCAAAAGGGCAGAACACACGCTTTCTCCTCTTCATAAAGGATTCTTAGCCAGGTGGGAATGTCCAGGTGTGTAATTAGACACGTTATAGGGACGCGAAACTAGGTCAGGGGCGTCCCCGCGTCCTACTTAGAATAGCAACAAATACAGAAGCCCGTTCATTGCACAGTTTATCGTTTTCCCAATGTCTTTAAAAGCTCATTTCAGTAAAGAAAAGTAAACTTTTGAAATGAAACAGTTCTTTTTATCATTTTGTTTAGAAAAGGTATCGTATCACATTTAATAGCCTTTAACGGGAAGAGTATACGTTTATCTAATATCATATGAATAACGAATACCTGTTGATAAATGTGCATATGGTAAGTATAATATCAAAACTATTAAAGACACAACTACAACAAGAATTCTATAAACGCATAATATTCAGCTTACAACTTCAGATATCACATTAACACAATGCGTGTGATGCAGTTATGAAGGTTTCGCGCTCCAAACCTTCTCTCCGTGGCAAAAACTCTCTCGGCAGCAAATCGTCCCTCGCGGCTGCATATTACTCGCGTCGCTCAGAGAAAAAATAACGCCGACGCCCAACAAGACTGCGAAGGAGGCTAGTTATGATACACAACAGAGGGTCAAACAACATTACGGGATCTGGTAGTAACAACCCACTAGTAATAATAACAATAGCTAGTGTGGCAATAATTATGTACAAGGTAGTAACAGTAATAGTAATGATATCAACATTAACATGGTAATCAAACTTATATTTAGGATGCAATAAAATGAAATAACCATATCATCTTGATTTCAATAACTAATCATATACCGAAAATCAAACAAATCCGCCAGACACTTGGAGCTTCAAAGCTTGAATGCAAAACACTGTCTACGTCAGATTGTATTCGCAATTAAACGCAAAAGATTCAAGAAAGTTTGTTACTTTGTTGCGGTTACCGCTGGCAAAAGTACGCAGAATATCCACAGGAATCGGTCTATCGATGTTTCCTTCCAGGTTTAAGTGTGTACCTCTGACCTTGTCCGTCCAGCTTTTGAAGGGAAAGTCTTTAGATTTTGCAAGTTCATTTGAACCAGTTCATATCGGATGCCATCTTTGTTGCAAAGATTTTTTTTATCTCACTTCTTGTCTTTCCTTTCGCCCAGGCCGCTAACAAATAAAAGAAAGCATTGGGGAAGTGGCAGTGAGATTACCTCGACCCATTTGTGTCTGCAGCTGTCCTGTAGGATATCTAAGAATGGTTGTGGACAATTTACAGTGGCAGCGAAAGGAAGGCTGCCCATCCTCTGTACTTGTACATTGTCTTGACTTCTGACTTGTCCCTGCCCAAAATTATCACAGGTGAAAGGAGACGTGTTGACTTGAATAGTACATACAATTTACGTACAATGTATATCCCCATCCCTAAAACTGTACTTTTAAGTACAGGTTTAGGAATTGATAAGGTACAGACTTTTCCTTCAGCCTCTGTTTTCATCACTAATCTTCTAGTTTATCATAATAACCAAGATAAGAAATTGGCTGTCCTGATCAGCTACCTTTGGAATTGTAATTACTAGCCAATTCCCTGTCCGCAACTCCTCCCGCAGGATGATGCTTCAAAGGTTTTGACCTGATTTGAAGCCACCGCGGATGTCGTCACAAACCCTAAGTGAGCCTCACTGGGCCACGCCACCGAATATCCTCCCCAGACAGGATGTACACAAGTGCCGCCAGAAAGTAGTGCGTGACAAGGACGAGACATCTAGTAATAATTATTCCCTTTTAACAGCTTGCCTTATTTTCGTATAATTGTGTTATATTTTTGAAGTAATAGTAGAATAATCTTTGCTTCGTATGATTTAGTTGTTGGTATACACGATATCTGACCAGTTCCGCGGCGGATGGATATAGTCAGAATTACTCGTCGCAGAACCACCCAGCTTTAGTTGGAGAGGAAGGGCGGTGGCGAGAGGTAGGTACTCCATTTCAGTCGCCTTTGTCTTTACAAATTGTCACTTTTGTGACGGTCACTTTGGGTAGAAGGATGTTTTAAATGCTGTGGTTACTCGTATGTAAATTTCGAGATGTTCTTGTGGAGGAAAGCCGATTGATTTTGCCGTTGAGCCACTCCGTGTTCTGTTACTGGCAGTTTGTGGAATGTGTCTCGCCACCCTCAGTAAGTCAGTTCGTCCAAACCTTTTGTTCCCAGTTCAAACCTTTTGTCCCTTATCTTCAGTTTACTGTTGTTTTAAGGTTTAACGTCTTGTACTGTGCTTATATTAATACGACCGTAACTCACGGCAAAACTTGGCCAGATTCTGTAACTGTAAGGCTGGGCGCGGCTGACATCTGTGATGGATTATCTTGTTTACGTGTTGGCGGGCGAGAACTATGTACGTGGCAACATTTTCGGAAGACGTGTTTCAAATAATTAGCAGCCTAACACACATTTTCTCATTATTGGTGTTTACATAGTCGCGGTGTATATTTAGGCAAAGAAGAGAGTCTGGCTCATGATAATGGAGCTTGTAAATCTCTTGGTTGTTTCATAGTTTTAGTAAATAACGTTATATGGTATTTGGCATTTTGTAGACATGTAGATATCAACGCCATTCAGGCAACATATTACGTATGCCATGTGTTTTTTCTGTTATGTTTGGTATCTTAACAAAATTGAATTGAATATGTTATAATTTTTAATAAGTCATATGGTAGAGATCCTAGTTCTCCACTGAATTGAGCTTCAGGATTCAGATATATGACCACTGACGTTAACCCATTCAAGAGCCATCCAAACAAACTGATGCCGTGTTTTCAGGTCATTACCAACTTTCAAGAAAATTTTCAGTGTAATGATACTTATCTTTGTTCCTTTGTGTTTTCTCTACAGCAACACCTGAGAGGAACATCATACAGCATTGATTAGCTGTGAGGACCATCACATATAGCACACCAGCAGCCGTACACGGAAAAGTCGTACATGATGAAAACCAGCGATTCATCTCAGCCTTCAACATCTTGTATGTAAAAAAACTGGTGACAGAGCAAAAGTATCACTGAGTTACTTGATTGGCTTGAGACAGAACATCCAGCTTACTCAGGGGTTGTAAGGGTTAGGTCCATTCTTACAGCTGTCCAGCCTCTTGGAAACCCAGACTTCGGGGACTGTGCCACTGGCTCAGTGGGGGCTGGTTCAGCTTAGTTAGATGGGTTTGTTGGATGCTAATGTCTCAAAACAATCTTTCGTATATGCTGTTTAGAAATACTCCATGAATTGATTACTCTTGTGGGACTTATGATCATCATGATTGAAACCGAGAACGTTAACATTTACGAAAAAGTAACAGTTCAAGGCACCCACTACCAGTAGACCACACTTTGAATGATGACAATATCCACATGAATGAATCTGTTCTAATTCATGTGACCATTGTCAACACAATCAGGAAAATTAAGGTTTATGTTTAATACTAAACGAAATCAATTTACGTTGTAAATATCTCAGCTCTAGTACTAGTAGCTGCCCCTGGTGGTTCGATTAAGACAGTGTAGGGGCTGAGTTAGGCCCGGCTCTTTCCTTAAACATTCATGTCATGACCAGCCGGTATTACAAGCCTCTCGATACAGTGCCCGCATGTAAGGAGTCGGCAGACGAGGCTGACGTCCCCGCTGTGTGCTGGCCGGTGAGACGTCAGAAAGGACCACGAGACTCAGCAGATCCCCGCTCTCAGATTTTATTCGAAACGTTCACGGCTGGCAGGATGTCGGAAGCACAGCAGTCGGTGGCGGGAAAGGCTGACTGGTCTTAGCTCAAGTGTTGTAGCAGATTCTGTCTTTGATGGATCTGGAGGATTCTCAAGCGATGTTCGGGCTTCTCTCCCAGTTTGTTGAGAGAAAACCATTTTTATTTTCTCAAAGTTCCGTCCACTCCCATCCCCCCAAATTTGGTAATCTCTGTGAGAATCGTGTCAAAATCACGTAAGATACTTCGTCGGGATTGGACGAAGAAGATATGTAAAACGTGTCAGAATTGGATACTTTCACTGACAGGTTTCGTCAAGTCAATGCTCGGACTACTTGTCAATTGATTATTTTCCCATTTTTCGTGAGTGACCCTGGGTTCAAGAACTCGGGTTCGTGAACTTTGGGGAAAGTAGGGCACCGAAAGTCTTACCCCTCTGATCTTGAGAGGGGCAGCCCACCCGAAACTTTATACCATAGGATCCAATGTGCTTGTCAAATCATAAGTACGATCCCGTAAGTTACAATGAGTTTTCCTTCTGTTTCCATTGATACAACGCTATCCTTGATCCGAGCTTGACAAGAACAATAGGTTGTCCGGCCACTAGGACTATCGTTATCTCTAAAATTGCCTAATTGAGTCCTTGGATCTTGGTGGCTCGAAACCGCCCAGGCCCGGATACTGCAGTCCAAACATCTGACCTGTCCTCAACAAACTATGTCCTCCCGCTCAGCCGGGGAAAGACGGTAATTTCCTTCCTCGCGGGCCCCTCCAAATGTCGCCAGAGCGTATGTGCTTCCTGGTCCGCAGGCGTTCCCCAGGCAAGAAACGCGGCGGACATCTCCTCCAGCCAATCCTCGACAGACACAGCCGAGTCTGTCCTGGAGAACTTTGGCAATTTCCTGTCTCAAGACACAACTACATGCGAGGCGGTGGTTGACAAGCACGAGGGACACGAGCGGCGGTCCTGTGCTCGACGTCGAGGCTCTGAGAAGGCTGGCGGGGAAGGGGATCTGGATCTAGGCCTCGGCATCCCTACCGTCCTTCTACCGTTGTGTCCTCACCTGGATCGGAGCGACCGTCGTCCCGTACTCGACCACCGCTGAACAGCGTACCGACTTCTTAAATAATTCCTCTCAGATCAAAACTCAGCTGATGAGACATTGAGAGGAACCAAAACACTTCGTATCCTATATGTAGACGTACCGTACCGGTTCTACCTAACTATGCGGTAGCCAACATTGATTTCCGCAGTTATGAGATAATCTGCCTCACCGTTGTGGTCTAGTGGTGTTAACAACCAGAACGCACCTCGTGGAGCTAACGACATCTACACCTGTATATCTGGTCAGCCATTTACCATTTGATCGGACTGGGGTCGTGCAACACCCTGCAAAATCCACAACAGAATCCACCTACCTGTCAGATCGCATCCTGTGACGCCGCGACAGATGTAAGCTTGGCGTAGCTTTCGGATCGTCAGACAGTCTCCCGAGCCGTCAAGGCAATGCTGACAAGATGGCCTCCAATTCCCAGGTCTGCGTGATGCGAGTCAAAGTTCACTTTGGATACACTGCTGGTTTGCTTGCCCGTGACCAAGCTGTCAGGAAATTGATAAATGCGTCTAACGCTGGTGGTAAACAGTGGCTAGCATTTGACGTTTGTATTTTGAGACAAAAACCTGCATTTGTTTTGGCAAGTCTGCGCATGTCAGCTTACATCCAAATTTCCTGCATAACTGTGGTTCTAAACTTGCTAACTCCTTACATAGTTCTTCAGGTTCAATTACAAATGATTGTGAAGTGGGTGGAATGGCATCCACCCAGCTTCTGTTCTCGGAGTCTTTGAGTTTGACTTTAATCGTAGACTTGGAGTGATAACTTTGTGTGGACTTGACCGGCTGCTGGACATCTGAGTTTGCCAGAGGCTGTTAATAATGAGAAACTGCCATCTTTTTATCTGAGTGAAATTACGTCTCAATTTTTGATTTCGGAATCGTAGTGGGTATTTCTGAGCTGGCAGACATAAAGTGTTCTATTCCAGCCCTTGATGTTGTTTAGAGAAGGAAGAGGTAGCTGTACTCTTGGTCCTTGAACTCTTTTTAGGCAGGGTAGAGATGATTTCTTTAGAAGTCATCATCTGTGTTAGTAGCTAGCATACAGTGCATAGTTAGAACTTAGAAATAGATCACCTTTGATTTATATGTAAAATATTTGATCATATCAGCAGTCTGCATTGTAATTTTCAACATCCTCCCAAAGACGGACCTTTATTTTAACTGAGCAATGTGGACACTTTTGTTAATCATTAATCATTTCTGATAAATGCTTATACTACTAGTATTCTGTGTAATGTGTGGTGTAGCAGTTAAGTCTCATACAAGTTCCTGCAAAAGGTCACCGCATATGTTGATGATAATTGTCATGGAGATAAATGTAATGTAGTACCTGTTCAGCCCACTTGCTTTCGTAATGCCCACCGCCTTTCTGCGTGGCAAGATGGAACCGCCTTGTCTGCACGTGGTTTTTCTTCTCTTTTGTCTTACAGTTCACGTAGTGCAGAAAGGGGTGGACAGCAAGCTGGTCTCCAGCATGGACGCCAAAGTCTGCAACACAAATGACATGCTATCAACAAACATAATCCACATGGGGGGTATGTTGAGCACTAGCATAGAGCGTGTGTTCTCAAAATCAGTGTCAAAGAGCCATTGGTCTGTACATAAGTTGTATGGATCCAGTGATTATCTTTTATTAATACGAATAGAAGTATAAGGGGGTATTGCGACAGAGCAGCTGTGAATACTACAGCTTTCATTGCAGCACTAACAAGACATGTGGAGAAGGAACTATTTTTCATAATCTCTGTATACACTACTTACAGTGGATGTATAGTGTGATATCATCACTGTAGGTGGTGTCCCTGAAGCGCTCACACCAGCGTGTTGCAGCCTCCTTGTACCGGGCGTGCTGCTCTGGGTGGCGCTGCATGTCTGTTATCCTTGGAAAGTCCTGCAGAAAAAAAGTTGTTGTAGTATTATCCTGTAATCATGTCAAAGGATCATGCTTGACCTTTTCTGTGTGATTAACCCTAACCAAACACAAGCTATTTGTACTTGGAATGGGATGTGTAAGTAACTGTAACACTCAAATGAAATATACCACAGATCAATGATGTCTGCCACCCTGATCACAGTCTGACCTCCACCGTCCATATTTGAAAGTGTCACCTGCATAGAGAATATCTAAACCATGAGTCTATTTTCAGCTATTAAACTGGGATTGTTGATAAGATTATTTGCAGTACTAGTCTTTGAAACTAATAGCTTTGGGGTATTGGGGGTACTTTTAGCTCCTTATTCTCAGCTGAATGTGTGTAAATCTTGGGAATTCTACTGGCACGGTATGTGAGGTAGCTGATACAAAAGTTGTCAAAAGTAGAAAATTTCCTATTGAAAAGTTGAAATTTCACATCAAAGTAGTAGAACAGACTTTAGTTATTACTGATTGGCAGTTGTTGACAAACAGACCCCCATAACATTTGAAAAAAGGTCATATGATATTGGTAGGTATGCTGTACAGGCCTTCAGTACAGGCCCAGGGTGTGGGCATACAACTGACCCTGAATTCCCAAGGGGGCTATCAATGAAGTCCATCTTTGGGAAAAACTTGTTTTAGGTACATATTATTAAATAGGCTAACACATGAAGGTGAGTTTGTGTTACAAAAACTTCGTAAACTGGAGATATGATGCCCATTTTTATGTCTGATTTAGCATATGTTTCAATGGAGAATCCTTTCAGTGGTGTCTCCCCTGTAGTATGAAAGTTATGTGCGTAATATGTTTGTATGTGTTTGATGGCTACTGACGATTGGCATCTGGCCGTAGAGAGAACAGTTCACAAACGGGGCGGCGAACTGTTCTCTCTACGGCCAAACTCCCTTGGCATGCTTATCTCTCTATTTTGGCCGATTTGTACTCTTTCCAGTCGCCTCCTCAAGCCTAGCAGAGGCTAGGAATTTTGACGCAGCGTTTTGAAGAGGTTTTAACGTGTTCTTTTAGCCAAAGTACAGCGGGTCGCGCCCGGTTTCGTCTCGGCCCGCCAAGCAACTTTACCCGCGAAACACGATCCAGCAGGGAGCCTGCCAGGGTAGTCTCACGGTAGTTAAGCGTGGATCGTGTTTCTCGGGTAAGGTTGCTTGGCGGGCCGAGACGAAACCGGGCGCGACCCGCTGTACTTTGGCTTCCAGTGTATTTAATAGCCGGTCATCCTACAACCAGCCGCGAGAGAAAGTTCCATAATTTTCCGCCCACAGACTATAGCGGCAGGGTGTAGGATGGCCGGCTATTAAATGACCGCTTTAAAAACTTATCATACTTCCACCCGCCCCAGAGCCTGCACAGGAGGGTACACCTAAACAGACCGCTCGGTGCTGGAGTTTGGCACGCCGGGATTTGATAAAGGGCATAAAGCTATAAGCTACCGTCAAAAGTTATTAAAATCAATATATGTTTTCCGTTGACGTAAATATACACAAAAAAGGTACGACTTACCATATTTTCAGACACCGGCACCATGGCGACTGCAGCCCTGTCCACTGTTCTTACGCGACTGTCGTCTAAAATCGCCGCCAGAAAACTTTGAGAAAGGAGTAAAATGACGAACGTCGAGTAGAGTTCTGTCTAGTACTTTGAAACGAAACAAACGAAAGAAAAGAAAATCTTCAGAAAGTAACAGAGCAGTCAAATTCTGAATCTTCCGCGATGACACGTGAAACGGAATGAAATAAGATATGGTGAAGACGCTCCTCTGGAAACCATCTGTTCCGATTGTCCTTGAAATCTAATCGGCAGGACTTTGGATTCCAAGATGCCAGGCCCATATCCCATATTGCACGCTAGAGGGGCAAGGGTCACACATCTTTACTCTCCAAGCAGAGGTTGAATGAATGGGAAGATTGTGACCTTTTTCTATGACCCGTTTTTTTCTGACAGCCTTT